ATGTTGTTGTGCATTATGGGTGTGTGCAAGAAGCGGTTGGTAGGCAATGTTGTTGTGTATTATGGGTGTGTGCAAGAAGTGGCTGGTAGGCAATGTTGTTGTGTATTATGGGTGTGTGCAAGAAGTAGCTGGTAGGCAATGTTGTTGTGTATTATGGGTGTGTGCAAGAAGCGGTTGGTAGGCAATGTTGTTGTGTATTATGGGTGTGTGCAAGAAGAAGCTGGTAGGCAATGTTGTTGTGTATTATGGGTGTGTGCAAGAAGTAGCTGGTAGGCAATGTTGTTGTGTATTATGGGTGTGTGCAAGAAGTAGCTGGTAGGCAATGTTGTTGTGTATTATGGGTGTGTGCAAGAAGTGGCTGGTAGGCAATGTTGTTGTGTATTATGGGTGTGTGCAAGAAGTGGCTGGTAGGCAATGTTGTTGTGTATTATGGGTGTGTGCAAGAAGTAGCTGGTAGGCAATGTTGTTGTGTATTATGGGTGTGTGCAAGAAGCGGTTGGTAGGCAATGTTGTTGTGTATTATGGGTGTGTGCAAGAAGTGGTTGGTAGGCAATGTTGTTGTGTATTATGGGTGTGTGCAAGAAGTAGCTGGTAGGCAATGTTGTTGTGTATTATGGGTGTGTGCAAGAAGAAGCTGGTAGGCAATGTTGTTGTGTATTATGGGTGTGTGCAAGAAGAAGCTGGTAGGCAATGTTGTTGTGTATTATGGGTGTGTGCAAGAAGTAGCTGGTAGGCAATGTTGTTGTGTATTATGGGTGTGTGCAAGAAGTGGCTGGTAGGCAATGTTGTTGTGTATTATGGGTGTGTGCAAGAAGTGGCTGGTAGGCAATGTTGTTGTGTATTATGGGTGTGTGCAAGAAGTGGCTGGTAGGCAATGTTGTTTAGGCAAGAAGTGGCTGGTAGGCAATGTTGTTGTGTATTATGGGTGTGTGCAAGAAGCGGTTGGTAGGCAATGTTGTTGTGTATTATGGGTGTGTGCAAGAAGTGGTTGGTAGGCAATGCTGTGTATCGTGAGTGTATACATAAAGCTATGGGTAGGCGGTGGTGAGTAGGCAATGTTGTATGTAATGGGTGTACACATGAAGGGCTCTGTCGGCAGTGTTGTTGCTGTGTATAGTGGTTATGCTCTTTAAGCGGTGTGTAGCCGATACTGTTGTGTATAGTGGTTATGCTCTTTAAGCGGTGTGTAGGCAATGCTGTTGTGTATAGTGGCTGTGCTCTTTAAGCGGTGTATAGGCAATGCTGTTGTGTATAGTGGTTATGCTCTTTAAGCGGTGTGTAGGCAATGCTGTTGTGTATAGTGGTTGTGCTCTTTAAGCGGTGTGTAGGCAATGCTGTTGTGTATAGTGGTTATGCTCTTTAAGCGGTGTGTAGGCAATGCTGTTGTGTATAGTGGTTGTGCTCTTTAAGCGGTGTGTAGGCAATGCTGTTGTGTTTAGTGGCTGTGCTCTTTAAGCGGTGTGTATAGGCAATGCTGTGGTGTATAGTGGTTGTCCTTTTTAAGCGGTGTGTAGGCAATGCTGTTGTGTATAGTGGCTGTGCTCTTTAAGCGGTGTGTATAGGCAATGCTGCTGTGTATAATGGTTGTGCTCTTTAAGCGGTGTGTAGGCAATGCTGCTGTGTATAGTGGTTGTGCTCTTTAAGCGGTGTGTAGGCAATGCTGCTGTGTATAGTGGTTGTGCTCTTTAAGCGGCGTGTAGGTTATGTTGTCGTGTATAATGGATGTAACATACAGCTGTATATAGACAGTGGTGTTGTGTAAAGTGGTTGACTGTGACTGTGTACGATAATAAAGCAATGCGTAGGACGTGTTGCAGACGTGCTGCAGCGGTGACCGTGCTGTTGTGTATTGTGGGCTTGATGGGCAGTTCGTACAGACACTTTGGGATTTGTCTGTATATACACAGCTTTGCGTGGCAGTATTGTCGGAGCGAACCTGCATGTTGTGGATATTCGATGTGCACGTGCAGCGTTGTTTTGGCTGTTCAATGCTGATACAAACACCAGCACTAACCCTGTCTCTCCACAAAATGTGTCGCGCTTACCTTCACGTATTCCTTCTTCAACAGTCAAACACGAAATAGTAGTGTTAAAATTAACCTGTTTTCTTTATCGATTACCTTTTATGTAATGTTCAGCTGGTCGATTATCATGGAGGACAGGTGATGTGCAGCTGTTATACTTATCAGTTACTGTTATTTTGGAGGACATGTGATGTGCAACTGTTATACTTATCAGTAACTGTTATTTTGGAGGACAGGTGATGTGCAACTGTTATGCTTATCAGTTATTGTGGAGGACAGATGATGTGCAACTGTTATACTTATCAGTAACTGTTATTTTGGAGGACAGGTGATGTGCAACTGTTATACTTATCAGTAACTGTTTTTTGGAGGACAGGTGATGTGCAGCTGTTATACTTATCAGTAACTGTTATACTTATCAGTAACTGTTATTTTGGAGGACAGGTGATGTGCAACTGTTATACTTATCAGTAACTGTTATTTTGGAGGACAGGTGATGTGCAGCTGTTATACTTATCAGATATTTTGGAGGACAGGTGATGGGCAGCTGTTATGCTTATCAGTTATTTCGGAGGACAGATGATGTGCAGTTGTTTTACATATCAGTTCTTTAGGAGGACAGGTGATGTGCAGCTGTTAGACTTATCAGTTATTTCGGAGGACAGGTGATATGCAGCTGTTAGACTTATCAGTTATTTAGGAGGACAGATGATGTGCAGCTGTTAGACTTATCAATTATTTTGGAGGACATGTGATGTACGCCTGTTACACTTATCAGTTATTTTGGAGGACAGGTGATGTGCAGCCGTTTCACTTATCAGTGAGTGAGTTTAGTTTTACCCTGCTATTAGCAATATTCCAGCAATATCACATATAACAGTAGAACACCAGCGACATCATTAACGGGACAGGTTGGCGTGATGTGACATGTATATGATCAAAAATACGTTTTATAGCATACCGTAAAATATGCGGGTTTTTTTATATGATTAAATTATTGAGGTTTTTTGTAACGTAAGGAACCTTCCCTCTTCCAACTAAGTCAATAATGTTAATAGGTTCACAACTGTCTAAATACGTATTGTGTCGATGTTTCCATTTTCTTTAACAATAAATAGTTATCATCGAAACATAATTAAACAGTGCCTCTGAAATCTTACCACTGCAAAGGCAACTGGCACAACTCATCACAGTACCCCTAGACGTTATTGATTCTTCCTACAGGGCATTATGATCCTCGTGACTTTTCCATCTGGCAATAAAGTATGAGATCCCTACTTCGCTTTTTTATTCATGGTAATGAGTCCCGAAATGACAGTCCTACGTACACCGAAGAGGAAATGTCTTTATTCTTTTAGACTGTATAACGCTACTATTCATCTTACTGGCTAACCCATTGTAGCTATCAACAACAGGGCCCAGTCCAGCTTTATTCTCATCCCAAACTGAAGTAATCCACAGGGCAATGTCTGGCTGACCTGCCAATACCTACTTCAAATATCAGACCAAAATTAAGTCACTGGATTACGTGTTTACAAACTACGACAGCAAACATATCGGTGAGCTCGAGAGCAATTTGTCCCTGGCCAAACCAATGTTACAACCCCCTTGTCAATGTCTTGGTATTGAGTACATGTCATAGACATGACAGATTAGCTGATATCCATTAGGAGATGCCCAACACACGGCGTTCTGATGGATTTGGGTCGTTATTGAATTTGGACATACTTTCCAGAGGGATAAACTTTTCAAAGGGTTTTCAGAATTCCCACATTTCACAGAAGCTTCTTTCAAAGTTAAGTGTTTTATGATCAAATGGCAAACTAAATTCTTTCAGAAAAGGATTACTTTGCAAAATGAAATTGATTTTCCTGATTATAACCACTAAATCATGACCGTAAGGTCAGCTGCTGAGATGAGTCATATAATTTGGACAACTCAATGAAATTTCATTGATTCGAGCATTTTGATAAAGCTAAAACAGCGACAGTCACATGCCACAAAACACTATAGACAAAGTGATAGATCACACAAGTATGCGAGCTAGGACATTTTCTTCCTACAGAATGCCAATGGTGTTTCTTTACTAACGGACATATTTCTTCATGAAAGCTAACACTGAAGCAGGACGCCGTAACCTACCGTAACGAGATTTTACAACCTTACTTTATGTTCAGACCAGAATCGATAACATGCACTTAATACACCAGGTGTGGATACGTTCATACAAGAACTGCTGCACAGAAACCAACCAAGCCGCATGTTATTCCTCAGTCGTTATACTGCTGTATTTACTGGAACATTTATCAGTGTATGTGTATTTCTACAGTGATTGTAGGTACCTCAGATGATCGCTTACAATACACCTATGTTATTCAGCGACTGATGCCAACCAATACTTGTGAACGTCAATATGTGAAAGAACCAATATCATGAACGTACATCCAGGATCAAAGGAATCAATATATTTTAGAAAGATATATGACTTTTTATTCGTTCATGAATAGCAATAGTGTAACTAAATAACCAGTTGGTTTGTCATCCAGTGTTTGCTGACATTTCTGACCATAGTGTCTACATAGAAAGTGTACAGCCATCAGCTTTATGGGGCATAAAGTAGCAGCTTGGGTCAGCTTGGCTTATTCCTGAAGACAAAATAGCGATAGCATTAAAACACATGCTGAGATCTACTACTTACGTATTTGTACACACGTACTGATATCCCTACAATAGTATTTTTTTAACTTGAATGTAGGTAAGAGCCATTATCCGATGATGTGAATAATGGAATCAATTATCAGTGGATGTAACACAGACTATATTGTCATTAGTTATGCTTTTCAACTGCCAGCCAACTTGCAATACGGTTCCACCCTCTGGTTACTGAACAAGGCTTCATCCTGTGTGTGGTTCTTCATTCTTACACCAGTCGTGCCTTTCCACATTCCCCCTCTCATCTACTTTAGAATTAGAACATTCACAATAAATGGTTCTTTTTATTCTTCATCGTTCCACAACAATCGGAACACAGTCGAACTATGAGTTGAATACATAATTATGTCATGTTATCCCTCAAGACATTCATTTAACATCATCGAACACTATATCGGTTTGTTTCGGTGGTTGTTGTCGACACCAATGTCTTCAGCATCAAAGAATACCATCATGCAAATCTCGACACAATCGAAGGTAATGTTTCAGTGTGACCACACACACCTCTGTGTAATGCAATGCAGCATGATATCAACATTTGATATCAGTAATCCTTTACTCGTCCTTTTCACACAAATGTCTCGTAACTACAAGGTATCCCATGTGTTCACAAGCCTTGTTCCTTCTTGTAATGGAATCTTTCGATGACGACAGGGCAGGATATTTGGAAGTGGACGCCCGAGTGTCTCTGGCAGGAAGAGGGCAGCAAAGCCGACCGTGATCATCATGCCGCCGTACACCAGGAAAGGCACTGTGTAGTGGTTTTCATCCTACAGCAGCAAGAGATCAAAGAAGATTGGAATAGTCATGATAATGCTTTTATTATTCTTTCATGGGTTTTTTCAAATATTACTAATTGCACATTATAGCATAGCGAGTCTTGCTGTACATTAACTAAAACACATAGTTATAGAGAAGGCTGCTGCACAGATAAGTCATTCGGTACGCAAGTACAGGTGAGTGTTTGTGCATGGCTGTTCAACAGTAAACAATTGTACGAGGCACGCCAGCATTGTAAAACACTGACAGTGAGTACTACAGTGTATGTGAGCAGGTAAACACTACCTTCTTTACTTTAACAAATGCAGTGTTTCATTAAAGAGTGCACAAACTGCAAATTATCAAAGGAGCACAAGTTGCCCGTGAAGACTGCATATACTTCCTGTTTTCAGGAACATGTATATCGTGTTTAATGATAGCTACATCATCGAAAAGTTTCTTTAGGATTGTATCACTTCGTCTGAGTCTACGTTTAATGCTCAAAACAAGGAATTACGACTTATCTTATATTACAGCTATTATTAGAGAGCTATTCTTCTGGACACTGAGACGACAAGGGTCGTGGCAAGCAGACTACGCATGGGTAAAGCTATAGCTACAGCTAATACAGAAACAACAAACACCTGCAAATGGAGGGAAAATTCTACTAAACAGTGAGTGCGGTGAATGTTCACTGTTCACAATGCTATGAGAACACTGACGTGAACGGCAACGAAGCTACGGCTTACCTGCACCTCCTGGAAAACCCGCTAATGAAATAAAGACATATTACTTCATCTTATGGTCATAGTTTGTATTTCCTGAAGAGCAGAATGACGTTTCAGACCAAGGTCAATGTATAACGTTTACTCGTGAAAGGAAGACTGCTTTCTACCACTAGATTACTACTGGGTACCTTTTAAGTTTGTATGCTACATAATATCAACTAAGTCCAATAATCTTAATTGTTGAAAGAAAAATGGAGATTCGGGTCAAGGAACATTTTACAAAATATTCTACAACAATCGAAGCTATTGAGGGATAGCATTAAATATATCTACTGCTTTTCGTAAGTTGATGTGCTCTAATGAAATGACAGGAAACAACTCACCAAAAACTTGAACTGTTTTGATATGATTGCCCCAGTTGCTGTAGACAGCAAAGCAATCGCTGTGCCCATGCATCTGTAATGTATACATGACAATTCTGGGAATCAGTGGTGCCGTAGAGAAAACCATATAGGGACAGTATCTCAGCCATATCGTGACTAAAACTACTTCTAAATTCATAATACATACATATAATATATAAAACCCTGTTAACGAAGGACAGTAAAATTACTAGATTATCACAAATGAGTTAAAACTAGCTAGCATATATCTTTAAAAGCATAAAACTATTTTTGGACATTACAATGTAAAAATGGGCTAGTAATCGCCAACAGCTGAAGGTAGATCACCATACTAGGGACAGTGCCTTTGCTACCTGCATGGACCCTAGCTGGATTTACACCATCCCTTCAGCCATTGGCGTTTATGCTGAGATTTAGCCATACATTAAAATGACAAAAATACTACGATTAAAAACCTGGTAGACTTAAATGTTTTGGGACGTGCGTACCCTCTCAGGAGGACAATAGTTTGACGCTACGTCAACCCCCTTCGAAGGTACAGCCACTCACAAATTCAGTTTCTCATTTAAATCACCAATACTCAAAATTTATGTATGTACAAAACATATGAATCAAAATTCATCTATCAGTTCTATTTCTTTTAAAAATTCGATAATAAAATGATTATTGACCCATATAGTGCTTCAAAACGTTAAATGAACAGGCTTAACGCAAACCGACGGATACAACGAACATTTTTTGCTGTATGTTATTTGTCGAATGCATATAGCAAACTATAATTTTATCAGTGCTCTCTTTGAGTTCGTTGTAGCCGTAGTGAACTGAATTCACTTACTTTAGTGGTAGAACATGAAAACAGCCAATATTTGTGAGATTTTGGAAATTTATGGTGTTGTTTTCATATCCCAAAGACACAATTAACTACCCTTTTCTGGAAGAAAATAAATTTGCATACACATTTTTCTTTTGTCAGTGTATGTCATAATGTTATGCTGATAATTCTGTCCATGAGCATGAAAATATGAAACCCAAATTTGATTGAACTTGAGAAAGGCTTCACAATCCACTGCAGCATTATAGATGGAGGGCCTGTTTTCCAGCTACTAGGATTCTAATCAGCATTAACATGGCTGTCACCACTAGGCAGATAGTGAGCTTATCTGGGGGGTCAAGCGTTAATAAAACACTTCAGACCCTTCTTGAAAATCGATTTTTTAATTTTTTCAAGATTGACATTTGAAAATTGTTCCTTTTTCTTACGTTAGTACTCTCCATTTCAGAAAAGTAGTATTGATTCCTTCAATGAAAGCCTTACAGGCTCGCAGTTTCATTCGTCTTGGTTTACACCGCGCAAAAAAAACACATTTCATAAGACGAGGCGGCTGAATATAGAGTGTAGCTGACTCTACCATGTGAATATACCTAGATATTATGTTTGATAATTTTATGGTTACTTGTCAGTTGCAAGCTGAAATCTGTAGGTATCAATTCAGCATATTCCTGTAATGTCATCATAACAACACAGTTCAAGGAAAAGCTCGTGTTCCGTCTGCAATGACCGCCAGTTTGTGATTTGAATCTGTTTGTAAACAATCACGTGACAAGTACATTGGAAACAGGATATTTTCTTCATTCATATTTATTCCTAACTAAAAAAACCCATATAATCGAACACCTTTGTTTTACTCTTCAAATGGCAGAGTGTGGAAATTGGATGTGTGAGCGTGGAAAATAACACAGATGATGTATCCTTGCGAGGAATATAACACACCCGATATATCCATCTGATGAATACATCACACATAATATAGCAATGAGTGAAATCACACGCGTGATATATCCATGAGTGGAATGTATCACACATGCTATAGTCATGTGTTGAATATAACACTGATGATATATCCATGTGATGATAATTGTCCACGCGAATGTATCCTTTAAATGAATATAGTCCACGTGATATAACAGTGAGACATGTATAGTCTATATATATTAATATATCTATTCGACCTACATGATATCTATTTGGCTAACATTATCGACATGATATTTCCCCTGGAAGCGTCTTACCGTATAACAGTGGGGAACATCTCTACAGCTGAAATGGCGAGGAGGGAGAGTGTCGCGGTCACCCCGAGTTTTCCAAATACTGCCAAGCCTTTCATCATGTTTGGCATGGACTGCAGATTACCAGTCATGTCTAGGACGATGATAGACAGAGACGCAAAGCCGGACGCCACAGCATATAAAAACAGACACCAACGTCGCCCAAGGCTGAAACAGTAGTCAAACACCAGTAATTGACATCTATAAGGAGAAGAGTTAATATCAAATGGTAAGTTTGCAAGCTTCAAGTTGAGGCACATTTCCCTGATACAACCTTACGTACATGTATAGTAGTCTCCTGCGACAGATCGTTGATAAACTTGTCTGCGCCATAGACGAAGCTTGTTGGTCTCACAGAAGTGGTAAACTTTGAGAGACTGTATCCTTTAGTGATGTAACTCTAGACCCAAGCATTCCAAAGATAACACAGTGTGGTGTAGATGTACTACTCACCACCTGACACTGACACGCCGTGACATAACTCCCAACTCACCCACTCATCATCTGACACATTGTGGTAAAACCTTTCCCTACTGGGCAGCTATAAAATAACTCCAACTCACAAATTCATCATCTGACACATTGTAGTAAAACCTTTCCCTACTGGCCCGCTGTGACATAACTCCCAACTCAACGACTCACCATCTGACGCATTGTGGTAGAACTTTTCCCTACTGGCCAGCTGTGACATAACTCCCAACTTAACCACTCACCATCTGACACATTGTGGTCAAAGTCATCACTACTGACCTGCTGACAGCTGTGATGACACTCCCAACTCACCCACTCATCATCTGACACATTGTGGTAAAACTCATCACTACTGACCTGCTGACAGCTGTGATGACACTCCCAACTCACCCACTCATCATCTGACACATTGTGGTAAAACTCTTCACTACTGACCAGCTGACAGCTGTGATGACACTCCCAACTCACCCACTCACGATCTGAAGCATTGTGGTAAAACTCATCACTACTGACCTGCTGACAGCTGTGATGACACTCCCAACACACCCACTCATCATCTGACACATTGTGGTAAAACTCTTCACTACTGACCAGCTGACAGCTGTGATGACACTCCCAACTCACTCACTCATCATCTGACACATTGTGGTAAAACTCTCTACTACTGACCTGCTGACAGCTGTGATAACACTCCCAACTCACCCACTCACCATCTGACACACTGTGGTAAAACTCATCACTACTGACCTGCTGACAGCTGTGATGACACTCCCAACTCACCCACTCACCATCTGACACATTGTGGTAAAACTCATCACTACTGACCAGCTGACAGCTGTGATGACACTCCCAACTCACCCAATATTCATCTGACACATTGTGGTAAAACTCTTCACTACTAACCAGCTGACAACTGTGATGACGCTCCCAACTCACCCACTCATCATCTGACACATTGTGGTAAAACTCTTCACTACTGACCAGCTGACAGCTGTGATGACACTCCCAACTCACCCACTCATCGCTCACCTTTGAAGCCAGTCATCAAACAACATGATTGCATACCCGATATCTTTTTGCGAACGTGCAGATTGCAGGTACACTCGCAGTTTTGTTCATATGCACATTATGCCTTGATATGTATTTACAACAGAATGGATAAAAACACGTATACGTAATTAGAAGTTCTTTTTTAAAATTAGTAAGTGTTAATCAAGAAAGTTGTTTAGGCGATTCCAAGACAGCATTTTCACGTTCTCCATCAACTGATAAGTGTTGAAAAGGCCTTACCATTTATTCACAACGACTGCCGACCAGGTTAGCGGAAGGTCGACGATATATGGAAGGAATCTATCTACATATACGTTCCCAGTTATTCTCCGTGTTTTCTCAGCAAGGCAAAAATATACAGTCGACGCAACCAAGCTGAAACAGACAAAAGCAAACATGCCAGCAAGTGATTCAAGATACGTATTGCGATGATCATAGGTATCTCAGGGTGACATACTGAGGCAACTCAGTGAGAACGGCGGTCAACATTCCAATGGCTGAAGGAAGAAATGAAAGATTTCTTGCATATTCTGCTGATCAGTCTGATTGTTGTTATCCAAAAGACCCAAAAGAGCAGTTAGTTGTATCCGTTAGTGTGTTATAAGCATGTTCGGCTTGAGCATAGCTAGCTGTATATAATATAATAATATATACATCAGAAAATGTTTTCTTATAATATTCGCTTTGCACAGAATGAAGGTTACACGACGCTGTACTGTCGGAATAATGACAAAGACATTTTGGAGTTGATGTAACGGTTTCACAGGAAACACGGAGTTCTCAAATGTATCAATATTTTACTTCAGAGTTAAAGGACCCAATTCCATTTCTCCTGCATGTGCTATACCCTCGTGTAGCTATGATTGAGTAAGGGAATATACTGACAGGGGAATCCAAGACCCAGACAGTATTGATCTGGCCGCGTGGCAGTAACATCTACACGGTCTTCACAGATAACACCCTTCAATTCCGGTAACCACCCCCACCCCCCACCCACCCACCCCCACCCCACCCCTCCACACACACACACACATACACACACACATCTATCTCCAAATACATCCTATTGGCAACACAACCAAGTCGATAGGGGATCACATGCACTGAAGTTCGTATGTTACGTACTGGTGGTGACAGCCAGGTTGTTGCATTCAGTTGTAGGCAACATATGGTTCCAATGTTTAAATATATGATTTAAGATGAGATCTACGTAATTGAGCATACGGATCCACTTGTCGGGAAACAAATAAACCGCATTTGAGCAGACAGTAACATCTGGACAGGTGCGGTATGTAAATATACATCATCATTACTACTTTTTGCTCATATCGTTTATGACAGATGAGAAGGCTTCAGGTTTTCTGTCTGATCACACACAGTTGTCATGGAAATGATGAAAGGCTGAGTATTTGATTTTAACGAACGTTTTGAATGTCAGCCTTTCGTGTGTTTATGCGAGACCACTGTCTATATATGTATCTCATATATCATATACCTTAATAATATATATATGGATGTACACGTAGTTATTCATATTAATATACATGTACATGTGGAGTTGTACATTTAAATATACATGTACATGTCGAGTTATGCATCTTAATGTGCATATGCACGTCGAGTTATATACATGTACATGTAGAGTTATACATCTTAATATACATGTGTATGTAGTTATAATCTTAATGTACATGTACATCTACGTGTCGAGTTATACATCTTAATGTACATATGCATGTAGAGTTATACATCTTAATATACACGTACATGTCGAGATACAATCTTAATGTACATGTACATGTCGAGTTAAAAATCTTGATATACATGTAGAGTTATACATCTTAATGGCATCATTTAAATATACCTGTATTTATAAGTATTCGTTAGAATGAAAATGTATTGTCATTACATATATATTGTAACGTCACAATAGGGACAACATCCTAGAGCGACAAGGTCACAGCTTGCAATGGTTTAACATTGGTTTGAACTTGTCTATGAAGTAGTGTTCTTTTAAAATTCGTTTTACTTTGTCCGAATTTTGAACTTGATAAAAAGGAAATATTGTAAATTTAACATTGTTTCCTTTCGCACAGACATCTAGATGTTCACTCAGTGGGATACATAAGAACGAAACATGTTGGAGAAAAAGGCATTCTGTTTTTATTTATCTATGTGATATTTATGACTGGACACCTGTACTATTTTGGACATTTTGTGCGTATATATATATATATGTGTGTGTGTGTGTGTATGTGTGTGTGTATATGTGTATATATATATATATGGGGGTGTGTATATATATATATACATATATGGGTAACATTTACTTACATTTTACATCCCCGTTCAAAACTGCTGTTACTTAAATCTACATATTTATGAAATGTATCTTCGCATACTGAATATCTCATTGACATTAGACTCATACTACCCCGGACAGTGATGTTTATACCGTAATTTAAGCAGTGTTTTTGAAATCTATTTTACTGAATATTTTATTAACCACTCCGTCTCTAATAAAATGCATCTTTGGCATGGACTTATCAGTGACAGAATATCGTCGACACCTGTACTTACCATACATACACTAAGGCTATAGTCCACTTAATACGGTCGACGGAATGACACAAGTCTAAGTATGTGTATTTCTTGTGATGCATGTGCCCGACAACAGAGGCCCTTGCTCTGTCCAGCAGTGACGTCACTCCCGGCACCGCGTGCTCATTACAAGATATCATTTCCCTAATTCCAGCTTCTGATGATTTGAAGCGTTGTTGGCATAGCAACCATCTAGCACTTTCTGGCACAAGGCTGTAAAAATAAAGTTCAGCTTAGAAAGAAAACACGTTTGATGTTAATGATAACGGTTAGTGTAAAGAACAAGGAATGCAACTGAGATGATAATCATCTTCTGCGTGTGTGTGTGTGCTACGTAACATCTATCACTGGTATACATGCTTGGGACTTCATGGATACTATCTTGCAACAGGCTCTGCCAAAGTTACATGGGATGCCTACAAGACAAAGGTTTGTGACGCAACTCAAATAAATTAAAGCTGCAATACCTTTATTCATTCGAAGCCATATTTTAAAATCATCTTCTTGAATCACCTCAAAATTTTAAAATTATCTTCTTGAATCACATACTGATCATAAACAAAGAAGCTTAAGACATACAAGTACACTGACGAATATGTTTGAAGAAATCAGTTGTTGAATCTACAAGTGTTTTATGTCTCACCAGGCGGCTGGGTTGGTACCGACCTACCATACGTCAACCATGACATGCCCTGAAGTGTAATTAGCAAGATATACATGAGATGTGGTCACACAGAGATGGAGATGGTGAGGACAGACAGGATACACAGACACTCACTAATATGTTCCTATAAATGGGGTTCCAATGGCGCCGGACAGAAACGCCAAATACCGCCAGTTCTCCGTAATGAGAGTCTCTAGGGAGAGAAAGACCACACCCATTGTCCACATGCCCGAACATATACACACGTCCCGCCAGTCCTGCCCAATACACTCCATCGGTGTCACCACACTCACGACAAGGAACGCTCCTGGACACAAGGGAAGGAGTTGTTAGTCATAAACATACATGCACAGGGACACTTGTTTCATTGGTCACATGCAAGATAATGTTTCATGTCATTTTGCCAATATTTAATCAATGCCGCGGCGATTGTCTATATGTCCACAATTTGCAAGTGCATCCTTCTAATTTTCTGTTAACGATTTGGATTTGGATCGAACAGTGTTATGAATTACGATAATGATCAACTGTGAAGAAGAGTTGTTTCTCTGCGCGACATGTGATGATGAGAGACTTGTGAATGTTTATGCTGGCTATATTAGATATGGAGTTGGATGATCTGACAAGATCAGTAATACATATAGCGGTACAGCTGACATGACGATACAACAAGCATCAATAGTCACAACATCGTTGGTACCAAGTGAACCGGAGTTCACAGACAGAAGCAGTCAACGTTGTCTGTCTAAAACAGATATAGGGGGGTTACATTATGTAATTTGTAATTGGAATGAAAAGAAGTGTTTCGAATGAAATATCAGAAAATTGTCCAAATGTCAAATATAATTTGAAATACGGCACACAGAACCAAAGAAGTTATTTGATGTTACCGACATTGAAATACCTTGATTTTGGTTTTTCAGACTTCTAATAATGAATTATATATTTGCTTGATGGGTAACTATGTCCACGTTAAGCGTTTACCTGCTGCCAGGCCCACTATGATACGGAAGACAACGAAGACCGGCCAGGAGGCAGCTACTCCCGTCAGAATATGGAAGACGAGCATCAGTATAAAGTACACGAACATGGGTTTTCTCCGGCCAAACACGTCGCCAAGAAATGCTCCAAGCAGAGATCCCACGATTACACCCGACACCTGGCCGAATAAGGTGTACTCGGACAAGGTCCAGCCATCAAGGGGGCGCAACCACTGTTGGGGGAAAATTCAACTCAATATATTTTGATTGAGGTTAAGTTGAATTACCATAAATGCCAAAACCTCCGCCCGTTTACAAACGAGATACTAGACGACTACGTTATAAAACAGAAGATAGGGAATTTATGGAACCAAACACACCAACATGGCATCAAGTATCGATTTATGAACCAGTTACCCTAACTGATACAGATAAATAATGGGATTAGGGGGAAAACAGTGCATCAATCATATTTTAGATACCGTTCAAAGCTCGTCATTGGAATGAGCTTACAATGTAAAGTCTTAGATATGCCCTCCATTACCTTTGGCACATGAAGAGTCAGGATGAATATATAGCTGCCGGTGTCCGTGGAGGAACATGCCTTGCTGCTGTGGGCAATATGTGTGGTTGCCACAGTAACTGTTTCATTGAAGGGTGTAAATGTCCCATTGAGTGGCTCCGCCCCATTAGTACTGGCCATTGGACATGGGTCATCTGTGGAGGGTTCCGGGGTGGCCACGCACGTGTACACAAGAACGGAGACTGTTATTGCTTGTAGGAAACTTGTGGCGATGAAGGTACGTTTCTGGAAGAAGCCAAACTGATCACTCTGACTAATGATGACTTCGAGGGCCTGAGCGCTCCCATCCTCCATACTGTGCAGGTGCTGGTGTCACCGAGGTAACTGCTGGGGAGAAAGGGGAACATCTATACTACTTAGTCTTTAGACCTGTCATGGCAGGTTGACCCGCTGATCAATTGGCAAAAATCGATTATACACTGAGGGTAGAGCAGGGGTCAGCTACAGACCATGTGTCATATACTTTTCAATATGATAGTCATTCAAGCTGTTGATATGAATATTACAGTATTTAAATTGTTTACACATGCCTGATTGTTTTGTATTCTGGAATGGGCTGGCGGTTGACATGCAGTTGTACTTACAATGTTTATTAATGCAGTTTTGTTCTCGTCACTATATGGCTGGAATAGTGCCGATGTGACGTAAAGCCCAACTTAACTCAACTCAACTGACAATCGCCATAGGTCTATACGTATATTATTGAAAATAGCGATACAGTGACTCTTTCCTATTACAAGAACATGAACAAGGCTTGTGTAGAACTGTAATTTAGAGTTACAAACCATTTGTTTTTCAACGTAAACATGAATAACATAACTCAAACTTTATTTTACTTCATTTTGCCTATATGTTTGAAACGAATCAACTTCGAAGTGCAGATAACATCCTGATATGAGGTGAGCTGTGGCACAAGTATCACACCACATTTTGAAGAATAACTTCACGGTCATATTACTAGACGACATTGACACCTTTGTAATACTTGTTGTAAAACGTCCAATGCATGCCTCGCATTAGAAAACAAATTGTTAAGGTATATTTTAGCAACTCATCCAACATATTATAAGCAGTATACGTTTCAGCCAAATGAAGAAATCCATGTCACAGACGGTGAGGGTAAACGGTTAATGGGAGATAATGAGATCGCGAGAACCATGGGAATTGATCCAGAGGTTAGTGAAGGTTTACCCAAAATGCGAGCCCCGGAGATATAGACGATGCAAATTAACCATGACAAAATTCAAATGGGTAATTGTCCATTTATTTCCAACGGCCGCATGTCGGACTGGGGAAGAAATGACGATTGAAGTCAATACCTATTGATACATGTAATTGGAAGCATGCCGCCCCAAGAGCAATTTGTATTTGCAACTACTTGTTGACGGGAGAATCACACTCCACCGATCGACAGTCGCAATAATGCAGATTCTTTCACATCATTGAGTTGATTATAACGTATTTTGACAGTTACATGGTACATTTACAAGTGAAAGCATCCTCCTTTGGCTCATGAGGCACTGGATAACGTACATGTACACATGGGTTGCGTTGCTTCAGTCGTGAATGATGATCAAGGCAACCTTAACTATCCTCTGAAAGGAACAAATGTCCTGATTCACCTTCCCAAAATATACTAAAAAGGAGTCGAGAGAATGTCTTCATGTTCACTTGCCACACACTAGACTCACACTAGCTGTATTACCAATTTGTTCTGGGTCTGCATGACAGACTAGTACATACAAGTTCCTACATCGTCCACATTTCACCAAAAGCAATCTGAAGCATGACCTGTGTTGAATGTGCTTGTGCTCGTTTTCAGCCTCGTCTGTACGCTGATAATATTGCCATTGTAAGGCATATCTGAATCTGGGATATTGTCTCTGTACAATTTGGATAATCAGTATTGGAATTAATACACATCATAAAGTTTGGGATGATAGCCAAAGTGGATATTAACGTCTTGTATCAAACTTCCTAACACTGTCACTGTGGATCATCACTACAGATGCGCGTCCTTCGTCTACATGTGTAATCAGTTCCAGATACCGACAACTGATATAACCCTAGTCATATTCAATTTGGATGACTACACCCCGCGTTCTGCCAATCTGTCTCATCACGAGAAACCATTGTACAGTTTGACATAATTAATTTGTATTTCGGACTACAGCGCTATGTAATTCACGAGTCATGTAATCCACTTCTGATCCGAAAGCCGCTATTAAGGTGGGATTAGTTGCCCCTGAGTGATGTCAGTGCGGTGCTCCCTCCAGCGTAAACAGAGCAATGGCTGTATCAGGCTGTCGACTCCTCCCTTACCAGCTGATGCCGCAGATAACGGGATCTGTTTACAGTCTCTACCTGGCCAGTTTACCTGCGTGTACTCTCATCTATCCGGGAGCTGAAGTTTACCGAAAACAAAATCTCAAATACAACAAATGCGAATCCGTATACTGATAATATCGACTCTGAAATATATAAACGACTTTTCGTGGACCTTCTATAGCGCACGTAACCCGATGTTGATGAATATGGATTTTCCTTTTGGTACAGTGGTATCTTATCGTGGAGATAGAAGAGAAGCCATTCGGTTTACAGAAGATATAGAGCTATGAAATAATAGCTGGACTGTCTGCAATCCTCGGACTGCAGCTATTAACATAGAAAACATGGTGGATTGAAATATTTCAGTTGAGTGCATGACACCTAACACTGAGTTCATCCGTATGTAAACTATATCAAAACAACTTTTAAGGTCTAGATCTGTTCATGAGTTTTAACCATGTTTCAAAATCTGTTGTGAAAACAGAACATTACATTGCATGTGCATTACTCGGGATGTCAAGAAACTGGCGGTTTTGTTGATAACGGAATATTCATTTACAGAGACTGGACTGTTAGTTCTCACTCATTATCGTTCGCCATCTTATCGGCAATTCTAAGGGCATCTACTTTGCGTGTTATTTTTGTTCTAGTGAACTTAAAGAAAGACAGCATTATCTCCGAGAAGGAGGTAGCTGCCGTGTCGGATGCGACTTCAACTGGCAGGTACAACCTCACAAAACAGATTCAAAATGAACCAAACTCAAGTCGCGTATCTAAACGTCACCATCACAATTAAAGGGAGTATGTTATCTTACGCACAGAAGATGCATATTAAAACAAGGCACATTTTGAAAAAAACGCACTCTGTTTAATAACGTTAACGTGAATGAATTGACTTCTAGATCATGATAAGCATTAACTTCATAATAAATATAACATATATAAACTATACACCATGATGGAGGGTGAAGCGTGTTCTTTTTCGCGATGACAAATTGTACTATCATGAAATTTATTGGAATTCGAACATACCCTCGCAACCTGATGACGTAAAGCGGACGACGTTGTGTGGGATTGTGAGGGATTCGTGAATTGGGAGAATAGGTACAGCTGATAACTATGAGAATAGTTAGAATATTCAGGACATGCAAAATGTGTCCCATTATTCATAAGACGGACTTGTCCTACACTGCCTAGGTAGGATTGTATTTAGAGATTCATCATTCTTTAAATCCGGGTAAATACTCTTAAAGCAAAAACATAATCTACAATATTAGATGTTTGAAACCACTAGGCACTTCTCAACAATGGCAGAGGATGGAGCATCTCCCCTACTTTGATAACCTCTGCTGGAATTAACTGGTTAACTGGTTGAACTTTTTAATGTCTAGGACTCGTAGAGCGAATATGCGGTGATCGAGATCTGCCAGCGTCTTGACGGTTTACTCGGGACTTTTTGTTGAGATGTGGTAGGTTGTTCAAGAGGGAGGGAGAGAGAGCCTCGATGGCCTTCACCGGCCACTAATGAAATGTTGACAGAATACATATGGATGATCGATGACTCACATCACATCGCTAAAACAGTATGCAGCTCTCATGATAGTTGAAAACACTGTAAGCAATGAACAGGGCATGATAACAGTTTCAGTACGCTGGGTTTCAAGGACTCCTGAATAGAAAGTTTTCACATTCTCTCGTGAGAATTTACGTGGTTTTAAAGCAGACACACCAGAGTCTACTGAGCGATTTGTAACATGGACGATACTTGTGTTTTAATACTACCAACCAGGAACTAAACAACACTCAAAACAGGGAAAACACTAACTTCTCAAACTAAGATGACGACGCCGTCTGTTTCATCAGCTGGTAAAGTGCTGGCTTCTGTTTTCTTGGATTCCAAGTTAATCCTACCGATTGACTACCTCCTGGAGGTCAGTCTCTTAATGGCGCAGAATGTTGTGTTGTTCCACTAGGATAGAGTAACTGTGTACAAATCTGTTGTTGCTATGGCTTTTAACACATTGACCATCTTCCGTATTCACTAGATTTGGCAAATGACGTACTGGGTAGTTGTGGAGGACGTCTTACAACACCAGGAAACGCCTGCTACGTACACGACTGGATCCAAGCTCTTCAGGCTCGTTTTGACACCTTTTTTTTATGTTGAAAATAATTAGCAGGCAACTATATCAACACAGTCCATAATCATCAAAACCTTTCATCCCTTGCTTGTCGTATCCCAAATAGTTAGATCAATGCTCATGGCGTTAATCAGTGGATTATTTACAAACCGCTATTTTCACCAATGTGTCCTGCTTTAAGAATGGCCATTGTGAATTCTTAGCGGAAATGAGTTTTGGCTCCCGATTTGTGGATAAATATTCAAAATGAATTTAATAAACATTGTGAATGTTAACAGTCGCGCCGCCAACATATTGTGGCTGCTAAATGTAGGAAGGTGGCAGCGTTCTGTGGGAAATAACAAATTTTGCTGAGTAAATAAAAGAGGTAAACTGGCATAAAATTCATATTACTGCCATCTATCATTTGTAGAAAGATACATTTTTTTCGTCTGCGACCTGCATCACTGCAGCAATCCTCCAACACCAAACTGAAACACCGTCATACAACTGGAACACTGTAGAAAATGGCGTTAATGACCACGTGAACATGCTCAGAACAATGTGATTAAAGCCTGCGATGTACACATGTATGCTCATATGGGTTACGACAGTATAAGTATATGTATGTATGTACAGTGTATGTATGTATGTATGTATGTATGTATGTATGTATGTATGTATGTATGTATGTATGTATGTATGTATGTATGTATGTATGTATGTATGTATGTATGTATGTATGTATGTATGTATGTGTGTGTGTATGTGTGTGTGTATGTGTGTGTGTGTGTGTGTGTGTGTGTGCGTGCGCGTGTGTGTGTGTGTGTGTGTGTGTGTGTGTACGTGTACGTGCGCGCGTACGTCCGTGCGTGCATG